ACAGAAACAAGTAATTCATGTACAGGGAACTGCAGTATTTATAGAATACAGTCACTATACTACCGCAAACTTATGATAATTAGGACTCCCCTATCGAAGATAACTTCCCACTTGTGAGCTAATTGATTGATGGTCGACGTACGGAATTGGACATGAAGAAAACTGAGCCATCCGGTTCCCTGGCGCTGGCTCATGTTCGAAGCGGTTGTGCAACGGTTAAAGTCGGTGGTCTTCCAAAACCACAGACAGACATTCTGGGCGGGGTTATGTGCTCAAATTCAAATAACCTCTCAAGAGCGTCTTCTCGGACGTACAGTTTACGATGGAGGAGGCAGAAAACAAACCAGCTGGCCTTCCTTGATGTCTGCCGCAAAGATTGCGGTAGCCTAAGGACCAAAATGTTCAGGAAAGCGAAAAACACAATGCAAGTACTGGACTTTATCAGCAACCATCCGGTCAGTCACAAACGCAGTCGCGTAAGGACGCTTTATCGGCGTGCTGAGACGCACTGCCGTGAACCGGAAGACAAAGTTGCAGAAATACAACATCTTCAAAGTGTGCTCAGAGAAAATGACAGTTGAGACGTCGGCCGCCTTCTCGCCTTATTTGTAGTTTGTGTCGCACACAGGCCAGAGGCAACCATAAGGTGTCAGATAATGAAACAAAAAATCCACTGCCATGGCAAAAAACATCTGGAGTCATCTATAGGATTTGGTGCAGTTACGGTCAAGGCAACTACGTCGGAGAAACTGGAAAACTTCTCAGGATACTTATTGTGGAACACGCAACAACAGTGCGGAGAAATGATGCCAATCTTCAAGTTGCGGCTCATTTGACGAGACACGGCCACAAATTCAAATTTTGTGAGGCTGAACTTCTCGCGACAGATGACAGTCGTGTGAGTCGCGAGTTGTCTGAGTCATGGTTTACGGACCCCCAGTCCATCAAAATTGCAATGACTTTCTCAACCCCTATTCGGTGCTGATCCTCAGTTTGGCAAAAGCAATTCGGCATTCAGGGAGCGCACAGGCGAACGCGTCGTCCAACGCCAGCTCCAGGCCCTGAAATCATCACTTCCAGTTCCACCACGTGTGGGGAAGGGTCACAGTCTGCACGCCGGTCATCAAGCCATTAGCGCGCAACCGGGTGATTATCCCCAATAGGGGATTCGCTAATTATCATAAGTACGCAGTAGTATAGTGACTGCATCTTATAAATACTGAACAGAATTACCTGACTCTGCTAACGCCTCTGATGAAGGATCAGCGATGGATTTCGAAAAGTCGGGTGAATAAAAGTATTGTCCCAGTGATCACATCTACCCCTTCTTAATTACTTCCTAGCACTCGCATCTTCGATTGCATTGGCTATTCTCCTCTGCCATCAACAGAACTCCAGAACCCTTCTCTCCAATTTTCCACAGTATTGCACTCACCCCAGGTAGTTCAACACATACGAAGGGACCATCTCACACGCTTAATGAAAACCTTGTACATGCAACATAAGGTTTCTTATATTATTGTATCCTTTTAAGGTTTTACTGTTTGTTGACTGTAGTACAGTGTCCACATATTCATAGCTCTTTTTCTTACAATATATGCATTACTCCCATTAACGTAATAGTACCATGAGTGCTTTATTTGACCGAGTGTGTGTGTGTCGTTAGCAATGTTCTTAAAGGCCATAACTTGCAGATCAAATTACAGTTATTAAGGCCAAAAGCAGGCGATCTGGATTCTGATATTGCTGCATAAATGCTGCTGGTTCTGAGCAGTCCCATGAAATAACCTGGAAACTCACACTTAACGTAACAATTAGAGTGTTTATTAATCCAAAGTGTTTGGTACGCGTTTTTGGGTACTTTTGGCACTTCACCTTATTCTTGACGTTTGCAAGCGTACTTCATGTGGGTGGCTGGATTAAAACTATTTTTCTGTCAGTTTCGTGCAACTACGCACGAGTTACTAAGTCTCTAAGGTCAGAGCATTCAACTTTTTACAGAGCCACTTTCTAATTGAGTGGTTGATACGCATTAATGTCATATTTAAGTCATCCCTTTTTCCCTGTCAGTACCAACATAAACACCTAAAGTGAACTGACTAAGCTATAGTTGGAGTATGTTCAGTGCAAGCTTCAACAGTTGATTGTCTTCATGTCCCGATTACTGACTGAGTGGGCTTCGTTATTCGCTAAGTCTTGATCGTATTTGGAAATCCTATGGCTAATGAGCATCCACGACCTTACAAATTATTTGAATGACTTGGACGTTAACAATTTGAATGGAGCATGCACATACAGCTTTTTATGAAATAAAATTCTCTAAAATTCTCTCTCTAATAAGAGTGGTGAGGATATAATCTTCAAACGATGTTGATTTGGGCAAGTAGCTTTAGCTGTTGTTCACAAGATGCTACATACTTAATTGTTAATTGTTCAACTGATGGAGCCGGACCCAAATCGAAGAGAATCTAGTGATAACACTATTCATACAGACTTATTTTGTTAGGTCAATTCTACGATTTACTTCCTAGGCTCATTTGACGATCCCACAATCCGGTATATCAGCCCGCCCTCAGGCTACCTAATAATTCTGGTTTTAGTTTATCCAAATGTTAACTTCAATTGCTAACCATTTTCCAAGCGGTCTTGAAATACATAAGCGTCAAAAAACCTTTACTTTACTGGTAAATTTAAAAGTTCTGTAAAATGGGAGATAACTTGTGTAACCATGACCCAAAATTAACCATCGAATGGTCGCAGATATTTACTTAAAAATAAAAAAATTCCGTCCCCCAAAGCAAACGGTTAACACGTGAGTTTTTACAGGGCATTCATCATGGCATTATATGGCTACTACACTCAAGAAGGTATACAGCCAATTACGGTGAAACTTAAAGTGCATTTTCTGTATTTAAAAAAACGAAAAACAAGGTTTGTCAAATATGCACAAAAATTCCTTAATTGTATTAATTTTACAACAAATTGAGTTTTTTTGAAAACTGACATTTAATGAAGAGGTTTTCTCTTTCGAAAGCTTCTGATGGGAGAACGGTTTCAGGTTGATGACGATGAAGATTATTATTATCATAAGCATTCTTTCTGTATATTGTCACTACCCTTTTAAAGTTCGTAAGTTAGTGGTGTGTGCGCATTCTAGAAACCATCTGTATGAAATTGTATAACCTCTTCGGTTAAATTACATGGCATACACTTCGAAAGTATTCAGATGGAGAATGAGCGCAAACTATAATAAGATATTCATACATTAGTAAACGTCTGGAAATGAAATCATCGTTTCTACTAGGCACAGACATGAAAGAGCATATAAACTTCTACAAAAGAAAGAATACGCAGTTAAAAAGCGATGACAAAATACGGACTACAAAGGTGACGACTCGTTTTTATAAGTGTAATATAAACAACCAGCCCACAGCTGTACATTCAAAAATGCCTTTTTTAAGCTAACCAAGGCTGCAACCTAGGTTTTGCAATCAATATCATGTGGAAGCAAATCGAACTAATGACTTCGAGATATCACAAGCTATAGTACATTAAAAATCAAAAAGAAATTGTAAGTAACTGTTTCAACTGAGGAGACACCAACTCCTATAGTAATCAAAAGAAACGGCTTATATCACAGAATTAAGTGCATTCTTGGGAAGTTATAAACATACGCTCGAGTTCACGTTCAGATAAATAACGTCTTCCTCGCATTTCAAATTCGGTTTTACGCTTTATGCCACTGGCGTATTTCAATTTTGCGTCAAAACATTACTAATCACCCTACAGCGAAGCAGTTCAGCCCATACATTTTAATTAACCATCTATTTTAACAAGAAAACTGCTACAAAAATGTTTAAGGATCCTCAAAACGCTTTTGTTCAATTGCCTCGGCAGCTAAAACGTTAACATAAGTCCGTATGCCCACTTTCAGACTGGAGTGTCGCAGCGCCACGTCTTTTGGCGGACGGCCACAATATCTATGTCCCTTTGTTCTCCAAGGCCCGCTGGCCCAAAGTCACTCGTCATCACAAACACCTTTTCCAATGCTTTTTTCCCCTGGCGCTTCCGTTCCCCGAGGCTTGACCTCGCAGCTGCTTCTGGCCAACCGATAACAGCTGCTCCAGCGTACCCTGTCCTTCGGCTTTCCGGTGGCCCCCACAGCTGACCTAAGCTTATTCAGTCACGTACACATGTGCGCACACACCCGCGCATACATACGTGTCCAAATAAGCACGCCTTCCTAAAGGCCACTTACCGCGCTACTTCTTTGG